TGGCAGGAGCAGCGGGTGGAGGCATGGCAGGAGTGGCGGATGGAGACGCGGCAGGAGAGGCGGGCGTTGGGCGCAGCAGGAGAGGCGGCGTGGGCGCAGCAGGAGTGGCGGGCGTGGGGCGCAGCAGGAGTGGCGGGCGGAGGCACGGCAGGAGACGCGGACGTGGGCGCGGCAGGAGAGGCTGGGCGCGTGAGCGCAGCAGGACCAGCGGGCGGAGGCGCGGCAGGACCAGCGGGCGGAGGCGCGGCAGGACCAGCGGGCGGAGGCGCGGCAGGACCAGCGGGCGGAGGCGCGGCAGGAACAGCGAGCGTGGCAGGAGCGGCGGACGGGACAGGAGCAGCGGCCGGAGGCGTGGCAGGCGCAGCGGGCGAAGACATGGCAGGAGCGGCGACGGGACAGGAGCAGCGGGCGGAGGCGTGGCAGGCGCAGCGGGCGGAGACATGGCAGGAGCGGCGGATGGAGACGCGGGCGTGGTCGCAGCAGGAGAGGCGGGCGTGAGCGTGGCAGGAGCGGCGGTGGTTGTGGCAGGTGCGGCAGAAGCGGCGAGCGGGCCAGGAGCAGCGGGCGGAGACATGGCAGGAGAGGCGGGCGGGGGCGCGGCAGGAGCAGCGGGCGTGAGGCAGGAGCGGCGGCGCGCGCAAGAAGCGGCGGGCGGGGCCGCAGCAGGACCAGCGGGTGGAGGCGCGGCAGGAGCGGCGGACATGGGCGCGGCGGACATGGCGCGGCGGACATGGGCGCGGCAGGAGCGGCGAAGGCGTGGCAGAAGCGGCAGGAGCAGCAGGCGTGGCAGGAGCAGTGGCGTGTGAGTGTGCTTGTGTGTGAATCTTTGTGTGTTTGTGTGAGTGTGCTGGTGTTAGTGTGTGTTTGTGTGAATTTGTGTGTGCGTGAGTTTATGGGTGTGTGTGTTAGGGTGTGTTTGTGATTTAGAGTAAGATGTGATGTCCTCTGCTGTAGATGTGGAGGTCTGTAGATCTGTAGATGTGTAGATGTGGAGGTCTGTAGATCTGTAGATGTGTAGATGTGGAGGTCTGTAGATCTGTAGATCTGTAGATCTGTAGATGTGTAGATGTGGAGGTTTGGAGGTCCTGGGGGCCTGAAGGCCCGGGGGCCAGGAGCACTATTGGGTCTTGGCTCACACAGACCTGTGGGAAGAAACATTTGTGTCAAACACCAGAACTAACAGAACGCACCACTTAAAGATAGAAAGAGGATTCATCAGTGGTTCTGCGCTGTCTCCTTGAATCAAAAAAGTGACTATTAACATTGGTTCCACAGAAGAGGACCTCTGGTTTGGTGCTTGTTCTCACGTTCAACTATATATTCTTATGAAGATATGACTGTTGTTATTGACTGATTTAGAGTCTTATTAAAACATTTTTCCATTTGACTCTAATAGAAAAAATGCATATCTATGAATGAAAAAAAAGACAGCAGGTACTTTGAGTGAGTCTAAGGGTTTACTTAGAGCATTCCCTTTTGTTTATCTCTGTTCATTAGAGTTACTATTTGAATCTGGAATCTTTCTATCTTCTTTCTCTGTGATGGGGGTTTGTGAAATAACACCAAACGCAAAGTTTTATTTATTTTTGCCAAACTGTTTAAATCTGATTTTGTCTATGTTCAGGAATCTCATTGGATTATAAATGACCCTACTTTTAGGAATTTTCAGTGGGGTAAAAAAAAACTGTTGGGCAAGTGACTTCAAAACTGTAATGTGGATGTATGACTTGTTGTAAATTCGTTACATTACAATATTACGGCATTTAAAATGTAAAACATGACACGACTACTGTAGTACTTTTTACTTCCTCTCACCAAAAGAACTGTGCCAAGATGCCCAACTTTTGTACCATATATGGACTGAACCAGGACTAAACCAGGACTGAACCAGGTCTAAACCAGTACCAAACCAGGTCTAAACCAGGACTGAACCAGGACTGAACCAGGTCTAAACGAGTACCAAACCAGGTCTAAACCAAGACTAAACCAGGTCTAAACCAGGTCTAAACTAGGTCTAAACCAGGTCTAAACCCGGACTAAACCAGGTCTAAACCAGGACTAAACCAGGTCTAAACCAGGACTAAACCAGGACTAAACCTACGCGGGTGTACCTCCGGCGTTTCATTGCAGCTGATATCGCGATGATTTTAGTGAATTTGTATGAAGAAAAACGAAAAAGCCGCCATTTCAATCCCGGTTTAAAAAGCTTTGTAAGGCGCGTTACTGACATTTGTACCGAGTCAAATATGTCACAAACCTGTGCTTTTTCCTCCCGAGAGTCCTGGAGTCCGAATCAGGGGACGGTCAGAAGCTGTCTTTGTAGAAATATCCCAAAGATGAGGCTGGTGTCCGTAGAAAAGTTCAGAGCAGGTTTAATAGTGCACTTTCTGGTCTCGACCAAAGTTTGCAAAGATTGCAATGTTTGAAAGATGCACTTAGCAACAAAAATAACAACAGCACGAAAGTGCGCACTGACGTAAGCACGCAGGTGTCTTAGCGCGTTCTATAGACAAATCCCGCGAAACGCGGAAGTAGAGCGGAAGTAAAGTCGCGGCGCCATTCCTGCGGTGCTGTGCGGCTAAGGAAGTAGCAGGAGTAGTAGCGTGTTGGGCTCGTAGCAGGAGTTGTTTACACGTTTGCCAAAGTCCGTCTAGAGTTCAGTTTCTATATTGTTTAAGTGCGTGTGTTCAGTAATGCCGGGAAGATCTTGTTGTGTGTTGGGCTGTTTTAACAACAGTGTGAAATGACAGGCCTGGAACAAGAGCGTGTGTGAAGTTCCCAAGCCGCTGTTGCACCTTGATAGTCCGTGTTTACGGTGTTCCGGATTGTCTGGTGATCAGTTTAACTGGTAAAGGCGGAGCCACATCTGGAAGCATGGGGGTCGTGTCCTCTCGGCTTCCATTCACTCCCATAGAGACACAAAACTGCCAGAGCTGTATTGTCGCGTTAAACCTTCTTTATCGTGGCGTATTATTTCCCCATAGGAAAATAATCCAAATGTATCCAGCACATGTTCCCATCACGACCTGGGGTTTGAAGTAACAAACGTTGCTCTTTACTGCAGCGCATGAACGCGCTCAACCACTTGATCTGGTCGCTGTTCCAGACGCTCCTATAACAGGTGACATACCGCTATGTCGTGTAACAAATAAACATGGTCAAGCACAAAAATGCTGTCCGTGTCATCACTGTCATGAATGTTGTGTTTGTGTAGACATGTACAGACTTATATAATGTGTACAATGATCTAGTTCACACAATTTGCTACCAAAATAGGGACTGACTCATTGGATCATTTTAACACAATCACCCAGAGTGAAATATTACACAACATCTTGCTGTGAACACAACAGGTAGACTACATCGCCTGCATCCAGATCCAGATGTGTTGGGCGTGTCCACTCAGCTGCAGATGTGGTGGGCGTGCATCATGCTCCCAATCCTTTGTCAGGTACAAAAGAAATAACTATCATATAGGCCAAGTCTTTTACACGTTCCGTATTTGTCATCCCTAATGCACTGTTGCCCTGTGTAATTGGCTGGTCTAGAATAAATAAAAAATGTGACTGCGTTTGCTTATTATATGCTTCGTGATACAGAATATACATTCATCTGACCAGAAACAGACAAGAATGTTTTAGTATCAAGATCACTGAAAAACACTACAATGAACATATAAACTTCAGTGACTACAAAAAGCCTCCAGTCCAAAAGGCAAGTATGCAGCCACAGCGCAGCAACAACCAGATCAAGTGCACGCACATCTGCAGCCGAGTGGACACGCCCATCACATCTGGATCTGGAAGCAGGCGATGTAGTCTACCTGTAGTCTACAAGCAAGATGTTTTATATCTGGTTTTATCCTAGTTTAGACCCATATTAAGGCAGCAAATTGTGTGAAATGTCACATTGCATATATGTACATATAATATAGGCCTATCTCTACACACGCAGACCCCTGAGAGTAACAGGACTGGCAACAGTTTATCTTTGAGTATTTTTATCGGCAAGTTTGCGACTTGAAAGAGAGCACAAGAACCATAATATTAGTTGTTGACATGGAGCGTCTACAGCAGCAGCAGCCGCAGCGCAGCGACAACCAGATCAAATGGTTAAGGTGCACGCCCACCGCATCTACAGCTGAGTGGACACGCCCATCACATCTGGATCTGGAAGCAGAAGATGTAGTTTACCTGTTGTGTTCACAGCAAGATGTAGTGTAAGATTTCACTCTGGGTGATTGTGTCAAAAAGATCCAATGAGTCAGTCCCTATTTTGGTTGCAAATTGTGTGAACTATAGGCACATTATATAAGCCAATACACAAAAATAAAAAAAATAACACAAACACTACATTCATGACCGTGAAGACACGGGCAGCATTTTGTGCTGGACCATTTTTTATTTGTTATAAAACATAGCGATATGGTACTTATTTGGTTATAGGAGCGTCTGGAGCAGCGACCAGATCAAGTGGTTGAGCGCGTTCATGCGCTGCAGTAAAGAGCAACGTTTGTTATTTCAAACGCCAGGTCTTGATGGGAACATGTGCTGAATACATTAGGATTATTTTTCAATGGGGAAATAATACGCCACATTAAAGAAGAAGGCAAAATACAGCTCTGGCAGTTTTGTGTCTCTATGGGAGTGAATGGAAGCCGAGAGGACACGCCCTCCATGCTTCCAGATGTGGCCCCGCCTTTACCAGTTAAACTGGTCGCCAGACAATCCCGGATACCGCGGTTGTAACCGCAATCCGCGCATCTCTACAGTGGACACGATAATACACATGGTACACCGGTAAGGAGCAATGAACAATATAATGATGGACTGGATTTCTCTTGTTTTAGCCCAGAAGGCTTCTCAAAACAATGTATATTACGGCTATTCATTCACTCCACCAGTCCAAGAGGGTTAGGTTACCTTTTCTCAACTTATCATGAAAAACAGAGATCTTCTGTTCAGTAGGTCAGACAATTGTGGTTTTGTTTGTGTATTAATCACCGCATCTTTAATACACTGACGTTTATTTTCAAAAAAGGTACAAATCCAGTTTACATTTTGACAAAACATTGTTATTAGACAAACACTTTCCCACATCAGCAGAACCCCACACACAAGCCATAAATGTACTTTTATTATCATTGCATTGCTATGTAAGAAAAAACACTGTTCCTATTAATACCAGATACTTGGACAACTCCAGACCAAAATGTAATCCCATTGTTGTAATCTACTTAGTATTTTCCATTATAACACTGGGCATTTCAAAATGTTGAAATTAACTTTGTTGCATATGTTTGATGAAATTCATAAGTGAAAACACTACTTTGGTGTAAAAAAAAAAAAAAAAAAGTCTGTGGTGAGGGACACTGTTAGACTCAACAAGAAGGCCACAGCCATGTTGTGAGTGAGGACTTGGACTCTCTGAATGTAGTGTTCAGACATAGACCATAGAACTTTTACATTATTCACTATACACTATACAACATTTTTGCATAAATATGTAATATGTCACATTATATATCAATATATTGCCTGGGTTCTATATTTGATTATAAAGTTGAGTTATTATGTATGCATATTTTATTTCTTATTCTAGTTGTACTTTTAGGATTTAATTAATAATAACTTTTTTAACAATTTCTATTCGCTGGTTGGCTGCATGTCTTTAGCAAAATTTATGTCCCCTTGAGGGATGAACAGAAGTATTTCTGATTCAGATTCAGACTCTTCCTCTGATGCCACTTGTTGGATCTTAAACACTGTGTTCAATTCTCCTTGAAAAATCTCTTTTATTGTTGTGCCAATGGAAAGAAATTCAGGATTATCCTGCAAAAAAACAGAACATTTTGCTAAACAAGTCAGTAAGAGAGTACCAACCAATGAACAAAACGTACCCGGTTATATGAGGCACAGTTAGTGAAGATGAGATCGATATCAGACACAAAGTCTCCCACTGTTTGATATCTATTATTCTGGAGATTGTCTGCTACTTGGTCGAAACACATGGGTGTGGAGATCACTTTTGTGTATTCTGGGAGATGACATGGGTCGGATTTAAAGAGATTGTCCTCATCTGCCCTGTAGAGACCCAGCAGCAGGTGCTGACAGTGCTGTGGACACAGGATATGGTGGGACCAGTCCATGTAGAACAGTGACAGTTGTGCAGTTTTCTCACCTGCATGTGATCTGATATCGGACGGGACATGGCTTCTTCCATCTCCAACTCTGGGTACAACACCAAAGATCTGAAGAGCACACACGAAGTGCACATCCACGGGGTGTCATCACTGTATAGAGACATAATGAACAAGAGCAGCATTAGTTTAAGTGACCCACTGGAGAAGGACCACATGGAGTTTTCCCTAACAGTTGCCCCGTTAATATGAGAGCTTTAATTCTGATTAAAAATAATTTAATTTGGAATAAAAATTAATTCTGCTTTAAAAAGACCATGTAAGCACTTAATTCCTAATGACTGTTTGGAATTAAACTTATTTAGAATAAAACAAATCCAAATTAAGTGGGTGGTTTATTCTGATTTTAAACCCGAATTAATTCATTCTGCAATCATGTAAACATTTATTCCTCTTAAAAATAATTCTGGTCATTCAGCACATGCGTGTTGGGTTGCCCTTCTGATGTGATGACACACTGCAAAATAGCAAAAAAAGTATTTTGTGTCAGGGTCAGCCCAATGTTCCTGGTACCTCTGTTCCCCAGAGCCTATGTTGCTCAGTAGAACAGCAGTACCTCCAATGCCAAAAGGTAGTGATGTTCCCTGCTAACACCGTGAGTCGTTCTCAACTTCATGAACTCATAAAACAGCAACTTTGTACAAAACTCGCAGCACATCAGCCCACTGAGTTCGAGTAACAGCAGCAGGCAACAGCGGTGTCATTACCACTGCTGGCTGCTGCTGTTACTCAGTAGCACTCAGCGTAGCGTGCAGTCTCTCAGGATGGGATTGGATGTCCATTCCTTGGTCTTGTGCCTCCGAAGGTGTTGGTCAGATAGGTGTGTCAGATGAGTGTGTGTGTGTGTGTGTGTGGTTCAGAAGGCTCCGTCCTCCATGTGCTAGTTCTAGACGTCGACAAGCAAGACCATTGCGCACTAGACTGGGTCTGAGTGGTTCCGTGCCATCCTCTGTGCACTGGTTCTGTGTGGGGAAAGCGAGAATGCGCAGTGGACTACAGGTCCGTGTGGGTTTCCCTGGTCCTCCGTGCTCGAGGGCTGGATGGTTCCGAGAGGGTGCATCCAGACAGAAGCGTGAATCCCGTTTGGTTCAATACAAATTGTTCTGAGCGTCCTCTGTGCAGTTGGTTCTTCCCGGGGGAAAGCACTTCTCAGACCGAGGCACCTAACCACTCAACGCTCCAGGTCATCTGAGCCCGGCCTGAACCAGAGGAACACCGGGACCTCTGAGCGCTGTTCCCCTGCACATACAAACTGGAGCAGTACTGGGGGACATAGGTATACACCCCCAAGTGTAACGATGAACCGAGATGACACAAAAGCTGGTATCCAGCTGAGTGTATGTTTTCTTCCGGTAGATGTAAATACGTTTGTGTCCCTGACCAATCAGAACCGTTCCAAACCCCCAGACATTGAGCAGAATTAAATAGAGCCGATTTAAAGTGAGTGTTTCCTATGTAAACCTTTAGAATAACTAATTAAAAAAACATCATGTAAACGTGGCCATTGTGTCTGGAGTTTACCCTAACAGTGCGTCTGTGATGTGTGGCAGGTGACATTCCTGATGGAAGGATCGAGGGCACTCATCACACTCCACCAGGGTTCCTTCTCCATGGCAGACCCAGCACTCATCGTCATTCCTCTCTCTGTCCTGCAGGGCACACACAGGGCATTACTTTAAGACAAGATTTGGCACAGTAAACTATAAACTCCCTGTGCCAATTTTAATGGTAGAGACACAGGTTTTGTACATGTGCATTTGAAGGTGCCATGATGTTGTGCTCTAACATAATCACTTTAGATTTGGTCATATTGACTGTGCTTTAAACAACAGAATAAGTGCATCCAACAACAACCCTGTTGTTGACATGATGTCTACTCACCAAATCTTCACTATCTGGAACACACAGGCTACATTTACACAACACTGAGTGAATCGCCAAAACCTTTTCCTGTAATAGACATATTATTGTTGTATTGGTACAAATCCTGTGACTCTCTCATCATCATCTTTTGCATTTAAAAACACTACAGTAGAACAATAGGGATTTACAGCCTACTGGTGCAGGGGAGAACAGTTACCTTTAATAGCTCTCCCAGTGGCTTTCCTTCACACTTGATGTGTTTCTGCCATGAAATATCTGTCTGACATGAGGCCTCCTTCACAAAGTCCACTGGGGTCATCCAGCTGCTCTCAGTGCGGATGCTCTTCCCACATGTGCCTGGTGGTACAAAGCACTGTCAGCTATATGCCACAGAACAGGAAGTGACAAATGCAGAATATTACCAAGCCTTACCTGAGGCAAAGCGTTTAGTGTGGAGTAAACCAGTGATATCCTCACACACCACCTTTAGGACTCTGTGTGGGATGTTTCTTGGTTCTGATTGCAACTGTGCAAGACCATCTTCATCATCTTGTTCATGTTCCTCTACATTTGATAAATTAATACAATTGAAACAGATATTAAAAATAAAATAGCAACAGAATCTAAATCATCACCTATTGAATCTGAGGAACTTTCTCTGCTTGATGAATCACCACTGGCGTCTTCAGTGTCAGTCACTGTAGAGATAGTTGTACAATGAGACTTCATGTGCAGAAAATCTTTTCAATTAGGGTGCATTTTAACAAACCTGTGGTGGTTTCCTCAGAGGGAAATAAATGCTTCTTGACCTTGCATGAGTACAGAGTCAAATTCATTTAAAGTCAACATTATAAATGTAGATTACAGAAGTATAATGAAAATCACCATTGAGAATCCTATGGTCTTCAGATGTCCTTCCTAAGGAACAAAATTACTTTAATGGCTTAAGGCAAATGCTTTGGTTTAATGTTAGTGTTGCAGGTGCTGTAACATCTTACTTGTATAAGTTTTATTAGAGGTGTATCCCTACAGTAGATGCTTAATTTCCAGTTCTTATACGCTTCCTTCCCTGCACGTCGCTCAAATTCAGGAGGAGTGTACCACTGCCCGTTCACCAGGATGCACTTTTCACCTAAAGACACACAGTTCTTCATTTAAAACAAAATATATATAAATAAATGAATAAATTAGTAGAGACAGAAAACCTATATTTTCAACATAGCAGTCTACAGTTTACTGGAAGTCGCTGCTTAAGAATAAGCCAACACATTGCTTGCCAACCCTTTAAATATTCCTGACCTAGACCAATACCTTTTGCCAGTCTGTCCCGGTTCAGAGTGCCCTTCAAGTCTCCACAGGTCACTGGCAGCTGGACTTTTGTCCAGATATCTCCTTTCTCTCCCTTCTTCAGTGGAGTGGCTGTGTTAAGGCAAACATTTAATTAGTAATACGCTCTTATTACTGTAAATAATAAAGTATGTATTCAGGAATTACAGAAGCACAGTTTCTTGCTTTTCTTTCTTAAACGTGGTGTAACTTGAGTAGAGGTAGGTGGCTGCTCATCATCAATCTCTTCATCATCATCAGTTGTTTTCTTCCTCTTTTTTCTGCTTTTTAGTTCAACTTTGTTCACTTCCATCTGGGAATGGACAATATTCAAAACATTTAATTCAAAATGTAATTATTTATTATTAAAAATGTTTTGGCCATTATTTAAAAAAATACAGGTATGCGCTAAGAACATAGACTGTTTATATAAATGGACATAACTAACCCACTAGCCACGGCAATAGGAAGTGTTCATGGGGGCACCATCAGATCCATCGACTCTGGTTCCAGTTGACTTTATATTGAAAAATTGTCACCCCTCTCTCTGTTGCAGTGAGCCTCGCGATCTTGGACTTAAAATGTTCGTATTAACCCGCTCTACATGATCTTGGTGTTTTTATTTCACTATTTTGTCCATAAATAAATTCCTTTTCCTAATATGGAACTCAGCTCCAAATTCACCCCTATAACATCTAGCCTCACGAGGTTTATCTGACTAGAGTTGAGCTCTATGCTTGACTTCACACTCCATTAGTCCACTTCTTTATACAGTCTATAGCTAAGACATAGCCTTAAATGTCTTTGTTCATAAGACCACAAATATTGTTTTCTATTTCCAGTTAGCTAATTTATTCTACACAGTTACATGATTTTCTAATTTTGCATCAACCTATTTTCAAAACAACCATTTCAATACTATTTTGTAGCTGATATATTTTGCACCTCTTCTTCCGACATCTTCTCTTTGTCTGTGTCATCGCTCTCCACGACCTCCAGCAGTGCACTCGCATAAGAACCTGCCATTCAAATTAATATATCGTGAAACTATATTAAATTACAACATGGTTACCAGCAGTGTCTCTGGTAGATACAAACATGCACATCCAAGAAAAATTGTGATTCCGTGTTGGGTCCAAAGACAAAAATAGTACAAAAAAGGAAAGCGATACGCATTGCAGTGCTTTGAAGATCACAAATTTTTATTTCAGTAATACCACAATGTGACATTTTGGGCCAAACCCTTTTTCAGAAATGAAAGTTTAAGCTCCACACCTGTTATATAGGCCCAGGTCCAGTGACATGACCCACCACGTGACCCAATAAAAGAAAACGTTTTTGTACCAAGTTTAATGCTATGCTTTTATGTAAAGTGCACTGCCACGGGGCTTCGGCTGTCATTGTTACAGATATTAGATCTGTGTTCAGACCTTGTTTTTAGTGGTCTAGTTGTTTTACCAACGTATGCCAACCTACATGCACATTTCAACATATAGATCACATTGCTGGAATTACAGGTAATAACTCCCTCGATTTTATAAGATTTTCCAGTACTGGGATGATTGAACGTTTGTGTTTTGTGAGTGAAGTTACACTCAGATAGTTGTCGTCTGGGACAGACTGCAAGAAGTGGGGCCAGCGGCAGGTGGGCCCTCACCACCATTTGACTCAGGTTTGGAGGTCTCTTATAGATGTTTCGAAGTAGCGATGTGAAGCCATTCAAAACTGGATCTGATTGTGGTATGTTCCAGTGTTTTTCGCAGATTTTTACTCTGCTGATTTTTTTTTTACTCTGGTGAACAGTGGAGGATACACTAACACTGGATCCTTGAATTGGTTTTGTTAACTCTGGTGTGGTGTAGCAGCAGCGTCTCACCGTCAAACAGGCTGTTCCGGAGCAGTCGGAGGGTCGGGTACTTGTTCAAGATGGTTTCCTTGAACACACAGCTCCAGAAGCGCTTTATGCTCTCTGGTCGCTTTGTTTCTATAAAGTCCAGAACACTGTACACTTCGCTCCTTATCCTCTCTTTGCTCTTCATGCGGCTTATCTTCTGCACAGAAAAATATATAAAATCAAGGTTGAAAACAGATCCTATGTAAACTTATTTCAACAGTTCTCAAGTTTGTTGGTTTAAAATGTCAGTCCCAGGTATTCTGTCAGATATATTCCATATTTTATTTAGCCTAGGGTGACCAAACGTCCGTTTTTCCCTGGACATGTCCGTATTTTGCGTCATGTCCGGGGCGTCCGGGTTTTTTTTTAATAAAGTGATGGAAATGTGGTTTTTAGTATCGTTCATTGGGGGCATTAAACTGAGCATCTCTCATAGCGTCTGTGACTCAGAAGGAACGAGACACAAACAGTCGGTCAGTCTGCAACATACCGAAGCACAAATGCGCATTTAACAGTGACTTGTACATGAAATTCTCCGTTTTCCGTCCCGGTCGGGACAAGTGTGAGTCCATGTGCACAGGTTGTGAGTGAGAGTACAGTGTCCCTCGTTTATCACGGGGGTTACGTTCTGAAAATAACCCGCGATAAGTGAAATCTGCGAAGTAGTCTGCTTTATATTTTACAAATATTATATCTGTTTTAAGGCTGTAAAACCCCTCAGCACACACTTTATACACTTTTCTCAGACAGGACAGGTGCAACCCTTTTTACTTCCTTCTTAAAACTTGCTGCTGTCGTCCTTGTATTATTTTCCTCCTTCTTTATGTAACAAACTGAATATTCATTTATTCCATTATGGAGCCCAACAGCGCAGAGTCCTGCACGGGTCAGTTTTTGGAGACTCCAGTACAACACCGCACCTGCGCAGGACAGGACCGCACCTGCCCGTTAACCCGAGATTATATCAAACTTTCGCGCTGCCTACGCCACGGACTGAACCACAGTGTTGGGAGTAATGTATTATAAAAGTAATGTATTACAGTAATGCGTTGATTTTTGCTGTAACGCAGTAATGTAAGGCATTACAAGGGGGAAAATTGTAATATTTTACTCGGTACAAATGTGAGTAACGCGCGTTACAATGCTTTTTAACCTGGATTGAAGTGGTGGGTTTTTCTTCATAGAAATTCGCTAAAAATCACCGTGAAATCAGCAGCGGTGAAACGCCGGAGACGCGGCCGGACAGACCTTCAGTTAACCACGGGGCGAAAGGACCGACCCAGAACTCTACGCTGTTTAGACCTGGTTTAGACCTGGTCACTTCTGGTTTAGACCTGGCTTACAGTCGTCCCTCGCTCTAACGCGATTCACTTTTCGCGGTCTCGCTGTTTTGCTGATTTTTAGAATATTTTTTTTTGTGCAATTTTGCATGCCTTTTGTTTTTAGTGTATGAACACGTATTGCGTTCCTCCCGCTGTGTCCTGATCGGCTAAGGGACTCCTGTCTCCTGAACAGTACAGTACAGAATATGTTCAGCTGCCAAATTTAAATAAATGTTCAATCTCTAGCAGTTTGCTTCTGAAGTGCTGTATGTCTGCAAGTTTTCTCTCCGACAAAATCCACAACGTCGACGAAATGTTCTGCACCGACAAAGGCTCCTGCGCTCGCACCCAAAAGACAGAGGACGATGCAAACCATCGCACAAAAAGTTGGACTTCTGGACACGTTGAAGGAAGGTAGAAGTTACGCGCTGTAGCAGAGTTTTGCACCGGGTCTTGTACCCGCAAATAGTTGCTGAAATCAGGACCGCGAGCCTGAGCAGCAGGGTCCATAAAGAACGATCGGGCGACAGCCGCTCTTACCTCCATGAGGTGCGGAGCAAAGCCGATCCTTTCTCCTGCGGTCACCTTCGAGCCCGTCCCGACACTGAGTCCTGTTTTAGTCCTAGTTCAGTTCTGGTTTAGTCCTCCTCTTCAGTCCTGGAATCAGTCTGAGGTTAGTCCTGTTATAGTCCTGGTTTAGTCCTGGTTCAGCTCTGGTTTAGTCCTGGTTTAGACCTTGTTTAGTCCTGGTTCAGTCCATATACAGCTCAAAAGTTCAGCTTTTTCGCAGTTATTTTGGTGAGAGTAACTTAAAGTAATGCAATAGTAATGTAATGCCTTACATTTTAAATGCAGTAATATTGTAATGTAACGAATTACTTTGAAATGACAGTAATAAGTAATAAATAACGCATTACAGTTTTAAAGTAACTTGCCCAACAGTGCTGAACCAACACTAAACCAGGACTAACCCAGGACAGATTCCAGGACTGAAGAGGAGGACTAATCCACGACTGAACTAGGACTAAAACAGGACTAAACCAGGACTAAACCTGAACTGAAACAGGATGCAGGAGAAAGGACCGGCTCAGCTCACGGAGGTAAACGCGGCAATTGCCCGATCGCGCTTTGCAGACAAACTGCTCGGCGTTCTCCCTCTTAAATCCAAGATTAGTCCTGGTTTAGACCTGGTTTAGTCCTGACCCACCCGTGTGTAATTACTACCCGCCTGTAATACGCTGTGTACAAAAAAAAAAAAAAAAAAAGCATGCAAAATTGCACTAAAAAAATCCGAGAAACGGTGAGACCCCCCCCCCCCCTCCCCAAGGTATCCGGGTTTTCACAAACGGAAATATGGTCACCCTAATTTAGCCTGTGTTTACACATAATTGAAGATGCAATGTCCAACTCTATGGGCCTATTTAACTTACTTTTGACAAGAAATCTGGCTGACCCTCAATTTACTAGGTTATAGATCAGAAAAAACATAATATAGGCTCTTTAAAGTGGATTATTATTTACTTTTACTTCACTACATTTGAGAGCAGGTATCTGTACTTTCTACTCCACTAAATGTTTGAACAGGACTGAAAAATAAAAGTATTTCATTCCTGTATCATTTGAGATTATTTTTAACACCTTCATAGTTTGAACAAACATAAATATCCATATAAAAACAGCTACGAAAAAACAATCAATCCTGTTGTTTCTATTAAACAAAATTCAACACAAATCTTCATCAAAGCTTTATCAGGATTTATTTTTTAGATCTGAAAATATAAAATACTTTCACTTATTATGCTTTAAGTACATTTTCAAACTTGTACTTTATTTAAGTAGATTCTGTCATGTGATTTTACTTGGGTTTCTTTGCTCTAATATCTGTACTTTTACTTAAGTAACAAAAATGAGTACTTCTTGCGTACTTGTGATGTGATTCAGTTTGATAAATGTGCCAGTAATGGTACAATGCGTAAAGGAGCAATTCAGTCATAAAATAAACAAATCTAAACTACATCTTTGCAAACAGGAGACCCGCCCCGTGCTGAATTGAGCGCGCTCTCAAATCTGGGCGCGCTCTTTCTGTCCTTGAGAGGGAAGAGAGCGACGGGAACTCACCGAGTGCTGGTCCTTGGAAATCAGGTTGTAGTCCCGGAGCTGGCTCACAAACGTCTGCGGGTTTTCCATGCACGACAGCTTCGTTTTGTTGATGTGGAGGAAGCCCAGCAGCGGCTTTTCTTCCAGAAAATCTGAAGGGTTCATTTTGGATCAGAATACAGGGACAGTCAGGTCCAGAGCAAAACAGAGACTTGTGCGGCTTATAACAGGACTGCAACTCCCAAAATCAGAGCAAAAGGAAAACGAACAGAACTAACCCAGGACTAAACCAGGACTAAACCAGGACTGAACCAGGACTAAAGCAGGACTGAACCAGGTTTAAACTAGGACTAAACCACGACTAAACCAGAACTAAAGACCTGAACTAGAATCAGGAGTAAACCAGGTCTAAAAATCAGGACTAAACCAGGACTAAACCAGGTCTAAACAACATGACACCTAACAGTAGATTGACATAATTTAAGGTGATCTCATATAAAAAATAATTTCTCTATCAATAATATTTTTTAATATGGTGAAGGAAAGGCTGATCTTGTTACTGTTTTTTAACAGACAAAACCTCTTATGTTCAGATCTCGTGGTCTTTGTTTCTCTACAGCAAACAGTTGCTTATTCATGGAGACTTGGGCTCAGACAATTTGAAGACAACAAACAAGAATTTCAGGATGTGGTTGCTACATTCATGTCGTTTAAAAAAAACATGACAATATCAAGTAATCCAAAGTAATCAGATTACGTTACTCACTTTAAGTAATTTAATGGATTACGTTACAAACTACATTTTGGGGTGTGTAATCTGTAATCTGTAGGGGATTACATTTTAAAAGTAACCTTCCCAACACTGAGTGTGACGTATGGAAAGTGAAAGTTAACATTTTCTGTGGGGACATTTGTGATCAGCAGAGGGCGCTGTGGTAACGCTAACACAAACGTATGCCTTGTTACTGTAAAATCTGCAATATCGTCTATTAAAAGTCCTACTTTTAACTTTAACATTATAGCTACACGATATGTAATAGGCCTGCATTTATTTATAGTTGAGTCTACATCAAATAACCTACAATACTTGGCCTATATTTAATCATTATAGTTAAATCAGGAGTCATCAAACTAAGGCCTGTGGGCTGACTCTGGCCCACCACGCCCCTTTGACAGGCCCCTGAGCCCTCAAAAGTTGTTAAGGCCTATTTTTATTTTTTATTTTTTTGGTAAATAATAACATGTCTGCATCTTTATTTAATTTAATTTAAAAATTTAAAAATTATATTTATATGAAGTATTTGTATTTACATTTAAAATATAATATGATGTATTTACATTTGTCGCTAAATTTTCCTCAGCTAACAAGCTCGAGATCAAACAGTGACAGTGAACACATGCACAGAGTTCTGTGTAAGGACGGTACAGTTTGTCTGATATGTAAAAAAAAGTGTAGCGGCTTTCAAAGAATATAATCTGCGTTGTCAGGGTCATACAATTCTGTTATACTGCCATAATGTGGCCCCCAGAGAAAAAGTTTGGTGATCCCTGGTTTAAATATTACTAGGCTATTAATCTGTGTTAAAACTGATTTCCTACTCTCATCAAACGATTTTCTTCATGAAGATGTTATTGCTCTGTCTGGAATGTTTCACAGTATGGCATTAAACCTTTCTATCTTCATGGAGACCAAACCAGACCAACTTACAGTCAAGATCTGTGGAGAGGCAACCTGTTTTTCTAGATATTTTTGAGCAATAAGACCAGCTGTAACTGAATAAAGAGCTTAATCAAATTAGTGCTCCTTGTGTACTTCAACAGTTATACCCAACCTCATCCCTCCCACCCTCTCAGCCCACCCATTACCTCCCAGGACATCTGACATAGTTCAGACACTATTGGGCAAGTTACTTTGAAACTGTAATGCGTTATTTATTACCTATTACTGTCATTTCAAAGTAATTCGTTACATTACAATATTACTGCATTTAAAATGTAAGGCATTACATTACTATTGCATTACTTTAAGTTACTCTCACCAAAATAACTTTTGCGCTGTATATGGACTGAACCAGGACTAAACCAGGTCTAAACCAGGACTAAACCAGAGCTGAACCAGGACTAAACCAGAAGTGAACTAGGACTAAACCAGAACTGAACTAGGACTAAAACAGGACTCACTGTAGGGACGGGCTCGAAGGTGACCGCAGGAGAAAGGAGCGGCTCTGCTCCGCACCTCACGGAGGTAAGAGCGGCTGTCGCCCGATCGCTCTTTACAGGGACCCTGCTGCTCGGGCTCGCGGCCCTGATTTCAGCAACTATTTGCAGGTACCCGAGCCGGTGCAAGAGTCTGTTACAGCGCGTAACTTCTACCTTCCTTCAGCGTGTCCAGAAGTCCAACTTTTTGTGTGATGGTTTGCATCTTCCTCTGCCTTTTGGGTGTGAGCGCAGGAGCCTTTGTCGGTGCAGAACGTTTCGTCGACGTTGTGGGTTTCGTCGGGGAGAAAACTTGCAACCGTACAGCACTTCAGAATCACACTGCTACAGACTGAACATGTATTTAAATTTGGCAGCTGAACACATTCTGTACTGTACTGACAGGAGACAGGAGTCCCTTGGCCAGTCAGGACGCAGCGGGAGGAACGCAATACGCATTCATACAATGTAAAAAAAAAAAAAAGGCAAGCAAAATTGCACAATTTTTATTTTTTTTTTTTAATCTGCGAAACAGCGAGACAGCGAAAAGTGAACTGCGATAGAGGGAGGGACGAGTGTAAACCAGGTCTAAACCAGAACTGACCCAGGTCTAAACCAGGTCTAAACAGCGTGGAGTTCTTTGTCAGTCCTTTCGCCCGCGGTTACCTGAAGGTCTACGAGGGCGCATCTCCGGCGTTTCACCGCTGCTGATATCGAGGTGATTTTAGCGAATATGTAGAAAAGCCCACCACTTCAATCCAGGTTAAAAAAAACATTGTAACGCATGTTACTCACATTTGTACCGAGTAAAATATTACTATTTTTTCCCCTGTAATGCCTTACATTACTGCGTTACAGCAAAAAGTAATGCATTACTGTAATTTGTTACTTTTATAACGCGTTACTCCCAACACTGAGTTCAGATGATGCTCAGACATAATATCACTGAATAAGAAATGTGTTTGTAATGTTACAGGGGCTGGGTCCTTGTGTATTTGGCTGAGTGACGTCCGAGGATGAACCAGGCTGGTCATCAGGTACCTCTACCACCGGCCTGACCACATTTTGTCCTCCCAGCTGTGAGTTCATATTGAGACCTGCCTCTAAATATATGATTAAGAAATAAGAACATGAGTACTGTGATAATGGTGCTGAGGGGACAAACTGACTCACTTTTAAACAGTTTCCTCTGCAGCTCTCGGACTGTGGGATACTTGTCTATGATGTGCTTTTCAAACACACAGCTCCAGAAGCGGTGGATGAATAGCTTCTTGGTGGTTTGGATCCATTCCAGGGCTAACTTTGGCTCAGGGTTCTGTGCTCCTTCAATTTTCTTCACAGACAAATACAAATGTTAAAATATATTTGATTCACCAAGAATGTGTTGAACTCAGTTTGAAGCAAATTTGAAACAAAACCTTTTACCTTGTAGATGTCCTCTGTTATCAGATTGTTGTCCCGGAGCTGCCTCACAAATGTTAATGGGTTCTTCATACATGACAGCTTTTTTTTGTGGTTTTCTAAAAAACTCAAGAGGATTTCTCTTTCTATAAACTCTACAGGATTAGCCATTCTTGATCAGGCTACAGAAGCTTGTACAACTGTACCTCCTGTAGTTCAACTGTCTTCCTCGTTGAAAAAGAACTTGTTGAACATGACGCTCAAAGAGGAGGAGAAAGGTGTGTGGCAATTGTTGCTTATTGCATAACACATTTGCTCTGCGGTGTGTGATTTTAACCAATTGTAGTACTTTGGGATTTGATTTCAAATATAACAGGCAATACAGATAAAATCCATTATTATTATGAACACACACAGATATGAGTGCAGTGCAGGTATATCAAGGATTGAAAGAGGCAGGAGACTCTGAATGTCTAAGGCAGAATATGTTGTATATGGGACAAGCACACTATCTTAACTGAATTCAATGACAAAGCAAAATGTGCAGCCAAGAGCATGAATACTGAGCCCCAGAGCCATAGCTTGCCATCCAGGTGCCCTACACACAGGTGCTTTGGTGTCACCTATTGAGGACCCGAAGGGGGGGCTATTCCGTGCCCGCGAGGATTCACATGGTGTCCCCGCAAGCACTTGGTGCCCTACGTACTGTGTGTACTGTGAGCAATGGGGAACTATGGTACTGCTGAGCCCCTTCCACAATGGTGGCAAAGTTGACCAAATGTCTGTCTCTTATGTTGTAGAAGTTACAACAGAAAATATATGGTAAAATAAAAGATTACATCTTTAAAGCACTACTGGTGCCATCATTCCAATCAGAGGTTTGTTCTTTGGAAATGCTATTCAAAGGTTGTAAGAGGCTAGAAACTGAATGGGCAAGGAACAAACCTGAGGCACATCAATTGAATATGTTAAAAGTCCTTTATTACATGAAGGGACGACAACACGTTTCGACCAACAAGACGTTCTTCGTCAGGGCATACGGGTGGAACAGGACACGCAGGTGTCATTAAATACAATTGTACTGCAAATATGTGACAAAGTCACATGACTACTGTATAGGACAAAGACAAAGAAAAAGACAAAGACAAAGAAAAAGGTTGGCCAATGCACTTTAGAAGGCACTTTGATTTGCGTGGTAAAGACTCTACAATATACAAACAATAGTTTATCTACAAGTTACAGCTGCAGGTAACTGAGGGAATAATGACCTGTTGTCCACGTCTGTCTATTAATTCAAGGAATGTCTGTCTGTGTGCTTGTTTGTTTGTCTACGCATAACTCTCAAACTGCAGAAAAGACAGCACTATCCTGCCTGGGCACTCATAATCACATCTAATCTAGTTTATAAACCACACCCTACTCTGTATGGTTCATGTTATATATTTATATTTTTTATGTGTGAGCAAATCATCTGAATAATAAAAGTAGGTTTCTAACTGCCAACTTTTGGTTCAGGGAGTACACATTCTACCCACTGATTTACCCACTGAGTTTATTTGAGTATATTTGGGTCCAGTTGTCCCTCCCACATGTCTCAAGAAGCATGTTGCCAGTGTAAACCTCCACAATCAGGGGTGGGCCAAAAAAATGTATACCATGATTTTCTTGGAGTCAGATTTCAATTTTGTCATGATTCATGTAAGTGCATTAAATTTATATTGACTTGAAGAGGTAATTAATGTCACCCACTTCTTCTGAAAGTTCATTGCAATTAGTAAACTTTTGATGTCACTCAGGGCATTGTAGGAGAAGTGGGGAGATTCTTAATGTCAGTGGGGCTATCCTGGTTAAATAAAGGCCAATAAAAGTGTCTTTGTTTGAGCATAGACCTGCATTCAAAAGAAAATGAATCGCAATGTGATGATGTTGCCAGAAAAGCATATAGTCACAGGGATGAACTCACGGTTCACATTTAATCTAGACCACAGAGGAAGTAATTTCACAATTCATCCAAAAGACTTCTTTAATTGTTGAAAATTATTTTCAAAAGCAGATCACAGTCTCTGTCAAGCTGAGGTTCTTTAGTTTTGGCCCCTGTTGTCTGATCTACAAGGTGTACACATAGGAAAGTCAGGTTTTAAATCCAACGTAAGTAAAGCTAAACTGTCACTAAAAATGATTTTGTGTGTGTGGTCGGGGTGGGGATTGTCCTTTATTATCACAGTGTTTTCCAGTCACTGCTCTGACCCGTATCTTCCATGTCATTATAAACAACATCTGTGTGTTTGTCCAGACATTGGTGAACAGCTTTCAGAACCGTGTCCAGGCGGCGGTCCAGCGCAGACAGGTGGGCTTCTGAGAGCAGAGGGGCCACAACCGACAAAGGGTCCTGGGACAGAGACTCACGCAGCACATCTGACAGACGGAAGCTGGGAAGGGACAAGAGATGCAGGCGCAGAAGGGTGGAGCGCCGGATCCTGGAGAGGAATGTGGTGTGGTTATAGAAAAGGTAATATTAGGTCACAGTATAATAAATGAGACCTGGGTACTTGACATATGGTTACGTTTTTGATCCAGGTGAGTTAGCTTGGAGAAATGCTGTGGAATTTACAACTGACAAGTCTGGATTTTGACATTGAAGTCTGTGTTTGAAATGTTGCCATGAATGTGGCATTTTAAAATACAAGTGATTTGAATCATTAATTTGGTATATTATTTGGTGACTGAAAAGTTAACAAAAAGACCAAAAAGTAACCAATGACTCTCACTGTTTCACTCTTGATCACAAGCTTTGCCGGAAACCCCACGTTTATCAAATCAAACTGAAAATTATAAAATTGCTAGCTTTTGTGAATAATCTGGATAAGAAATCTCTGTAAACCAGAGGTCTCCAACCTGGAGCTCAGGAGCTACCAGGAGCTCTCCACCCCCTTCAGTGATTCAGGGATTTCTGAATTATATGTACTCTGCTGAACAACTCAAATTGTATTAATTCCAATTGTAAATGTATAATTTTGATGCCTAAATTTGTATACTAATAAATAGATAATGGTTTATGGTTTTTAGGTGTCTAACTGTACCCCATCTAAAACTTGCCATGGCTCTTTTATGTACTACATTTCTTGTAAACATAAAAGGGTAGCTTTCTGGCATTTTTGTTTGGTAAAAGTAGCTCACCGGAGGAAAAAGGTTAGAGACCCTTGCTGTATACAAACTACTGTACTCTGTATTTTACCCCATTTAAACTACTGCATAGAAGTAACTGAGATATAGTGTTCAATTTACAAAAGAAACCCCAAAACAATAAGAATAGCTCACGTAGTCATATTTTCATACTTTTTGTTTTTGTTTATGTTCATACAAAATAATAATAGTATTAATAATACAAAGAAGGCACACATGTTTTTTTTTCATATATGGTTATACAAAAGATACAGAAAATAAAAAGTGGACAGAAGAATGATTTTGTCTTTTGTTTAGAGTCGTACAAAAAAATATTAAAATAACGTGAGAGGAATAACTTGAAAAGACAATTTTGACAATGTTTTCTGAACAGCTTTCAGAACCGTGTCCTGACGTTTTTGATTGATTAGTACGAGTACTATTCAAAACATATAAAAAACATGTCAAATTTTATTCAAAAATATTTTGCACAACAGAAGAAAAGTACAACCTGAGAGGTCACATTAAGGCAAAAATCTCCCAAACTACTGTCAGAAGCATGCACATATCAGAGGAGGGTAGATTTATGGACCAGTCTACTCAATCAGTCTTCTCAAGTCAATCTTAAGTAATTCCTTTCACTTTATTTTCATTTTTTGTATGACTATGAACAAAAATTAAATCATCCTTCTGTAATAATAATTATTTTCAGAATCTTTTGTACAACCATAAACAAAATAAAAGAAAAGAAAATCTTTCATGTTTTCTTTGTCCTGGAGCTCAACAGTGACCGTTTAGGAAGTAAATTTTCAATTCATTTTTCCCATAGACTGTTCGTAAATTCTAATATCAAGAGTTCAAAGCCATATCAGCTATGTGGTAAATAATATCTACAATTAGTTTTAAGTCCAAAAAGCAGATTTAAACCACAAGATTCACTATTGAACTCCATTATTTTATATTTTGTACAACCATACACAAAAACAAAATAATACACCTTACGTGCTTTTCTTTCTCATTTTTTAACTATAAAAACAACAATAAACTAAATAAAAGGAAAACATTTTTTACCTTCTTTGTTATTATATTGTGCAACCATAAACGAAAATGAAAAAACAAATAAAACATTGGTCTTAGCGTTTTTCATTATTATGGATTTCTTATGCACAATCATTAATGATAAAGCAGAAAAAAAGGTGAACGTTAAAACTTTTAAAAAGTGTCTTTCACTTTACATGACCATAAACAAACAAACGTGCTTTTTGTTTCACTTTCATTTGTGTAACCAAATTGCAGTTCATACTCTCACGCATTTACATACTTTTGGTTACCCTCTAAATCCTGACACTCCTGCATTCACACGGAAAACACGCAGCTATGGTTCAAGATTTTTTCTTTTTTACATTTGTGTTCTTTGCTCATAGGTCTAGAGTACGCACCTGCAGCACTGTTTCAGAGGAGTGAGGATTGACGGCTCATCTACGGAGTGGCGACCGAACCTACGAAACACAGGTGCCAGTTAAATAAGTACACAGTGCACTCGCCGTATGATCCTTTAATAAAACAGGATCCCCTAACTCACGCTCGCCCATTGTCCAGATGCAGCAGAAATGTTTTGTTCCCAAATTTTTCAAACGTCTCATAGTGATGTCTATCCATGTTACCTACAGGGAAAAAGTAGAAGTAATAGTTGTAGTAGTCAGTGTGGAAGTAATTAAATACATACACCAAAAATACTAATTCTGAGTAAATGTATTTTGGTGCAGTTACTAGGGATGTAACAATAACGAAATATTGTTATATCGTATAGTCAAAGTTCTCACAATAATATCTTGGACCATCAAAATATATCAAATTACAAGTCTCTTTTCTTAAATTAAGAGTTATGGTGCAGCAGTAGTTAAAAAATACAGAGGGAACTACATAGACCATGATCCTTTGCTCCATTTCAGTGCAGACTACATGAAGAAATAACATTTCTAAGCACTTTTAGGGCTTAGTTCTTTGGATTAAGTTTTATCAAGGCATTTTAAGAGGAAAAAGTAGCATACAGTTTTGTTAGACTCCACAAAATATCACAGTAAATATTGTACGGTGAGGTTCATACCGTGACGATATCGTATCGTGAGACTTGGATATCGTTACACTCCTAGCAGTTACTTTTTCATCTGGTGTTCTCTAATTAGTCATATATAAATGCATAATAAACAATGAAATAACTATGAATACCTTCACACTGAGTTGCAATATATTGAAGTATTCAGAATACAGTACTCTGACTGGACCATGTAACAGAATATATTGCAAAATGCTTTCTACATACCAGTATTCAGAATAGTGGAACTAAATACATTTTCAAAGTAACGTATTTTCCGCACTATGGGGCACACTTAAAAGCTTTTAATTGAATCAAAAAATGACTGTGCGCCTTATAATCCAGAGCGCCTTATATATGAATTTATTGGGGTGTCTTAGTACGACTTTAGTAAACTACAAACCGCACCACTTGCAGCATTACGGCTACCGTAGTCAGGAGCATACTGTGATTCCTTTTAATATCAAAATGCACCTGTCAAGAGACACGCTTACAACGCCGACTTTAAACTCAAGGCTACTATAAAGTTAATGTGTGAGCAGCGTGGGAGCAGTGGATGAGAGAAGGCGAACACACATTCACCAAGACAGGGAGATGGCGCCGAGCGACTGCCAATGGATCGTGGACGCCTGGGCTAAGGATCAGTACCAACTGTGGTCCGAGCTTTCACCAAGACCTGAATCATCGCTGAACTGCCAGGGAACAGTAACGACACTGACTCGGATAATGACGACATTGATGCGGGTGTGCTGGACGCCGTAATCGCCCGACTGTTTGAACAATTATGAGTTATTGTGAATACTCTAACAATTTAGCGTCTCACAGTATTTTTTTTACTCGTTACAATTGAACAAAGGTGAGAGTTATTGAGAACGCATTAAATAAAGTTTGACTGACTTATCTAACTGTTGTGTTTTGTTTAATGCGCTTTATAGTCCTGTGCGGTTTATATGTGAAAAAAGTTCAAAAATAGACCATTCAATGACAGTGCGTCTTATAATCCAGAGTGCCCTATAGTGCGGAAAATATGGTATGCTTCCCAGCACTGACATATGTACTGGTATTAGTGAAGAGTATTAGTGAGTAGTAGTAGTAGTAGTAAGGAGTTTTCGTACTCATGAGAAAGTCCAGTATAGCCATATCGATGACATCCACCAGTCTAGTGCCCTGGTCATATGGAGGAGTCTTCTTCACTGTGTCGCAGTAGTCTGGGTCCTTCTCCCACCTGACGACATGGAGGAACTCCTTTAATAATATTATCATTAGACTAGAGTTTATCAGGACAGAACTGAACAATCAACACTGTTTTAATCCAGATATGAGACAAAATAGAACAGGGGTCACCAAACTTTTTTCTCTGGGGGCCGCATTATCGCTCCTGACTATGATCGGGCCGGGGTCGGGTTGGCCGTATAACAGAATTGTATGACCCTGAGATTATATACTTTGAAAGACAATAATAAAGTAATAAAGTAAAGTGTAAATACTGAATACTGAATAGTCTTTGAAAACCTCTACATTTTCTTTACACATTAGACAAACTGCACGGTCCTTACACTGAACAAAAAACTGTTCTGTGAAAACTCAGCACTCTCTGTCAACTTTTCATACTTTAACACGAGTGATTTTGCTGTCCTTAACTGCACTTCAGAACTCTGCGTGTGCATTTACTGTCACTGTTTGATCTTCAGCTTGTCAGGTGATGAAAATTCTGCTGCAAATGTAAATACGTCATACAACTATTTAAATGTAAATATAAATACTTCATATAAATATAATTTTTTAATAGAAAAAAATCAACAAAATACAAGATGCAGGCATGTTATATGTTATTTGCCAAAAAGTAATTTAAAAAAATAGGCCATGACAACTTTTGTGGATTGCTTTATAGGGCCAATTCAAGTGCTAGGGGGCCGGTCAAAGGGGCATGGTGGGCCGGAGTCAGCCCACGGGCCTTAGTTTGATGGCCCCTGATATTGAATAACAAGATAATAATAATAAATGTGCACTGCGTAACATTTCTAGTGGAAGATCCGCCACCTACTTTTCTCCATGGAGATGTTATTGCTCTGAAATTTTCACAGTATGGCATTAAACCTTTCATCTTCATGGAGACAAATCCAGGCTAAGTTACAGGTCAGATCTGTGGAGAGGCGACCCCGCTCACAGTCAGAATCAATGTTTTCTAGGAGCTACAAAACCACCTGTAGTTGAATAGATCTAATGCAGATTTGTTTAATGTCACATTGCGGAACATTCAAAGCAGAGCAATGACATTTCCATAGAACCTAGAAGGTGATGAACCCCAACTGAAAAGTTACATAGTGAACCTTTAAATTGCATATGACAGGTTAGAGTACTTTTTCACTTAAACAGTTAATGTCATTGTATTTTTACCACGTTTGTCTATTTTTTATTTTTTATTTTTTGGTAAAGATTATTGTTTCACTTTCTGGTTGGACACAGGCAGCAGACATATGTAGAGGTAATTTCATAACTGTTACATAGCAACCAATATTAACAAGGACCTAATTACACAATAGTTATGTTTAGACTAATACAAATAGATTATAGCATTTATTTGTTAAATCAATGTTAAATCTCTCAAAAAAAACAAAAAAACAATCCCTGTATTTTAGATGCATTTTCAGTGTTAATGGCAAAGGTAGAGGTATTCCACTTTAGAACTCAATGCTACTTCATGTATTTTTGTACTTTTCTTCTCAGCTTTTTTCCCACAAACTGTCTGATGTAAACCTATGATAACTATTAACCACAGGTACTACCCCACCAAATCAAGTCATAATTAGAAAAACATGAAAACCAGTCATATGCGCTTTAATGGGCGGTTTGCAGTTCCTAGACATAGCCAGTAGAG